TTTCGTAATCAGCGTCACGTGCAAAGGGCAAGGAAGAAAAACAATCTCGAAGACGCCACAATGCAAACGAGTTGTTATTCCAACTGTTATTATATCCACAAGTGAGAAATTATGTAGAAGCATTAACAAAGAATTATTTGTCAGAAATTATTAATGAAGAATTATGCGATAAACGTGAGATTAAGACGAATTACGTACTGTCTTTCTCCGCTCTATAAATCCAAGACAAATGATACAAAGGGCGATGTACTCGAAATTAACTTATGTACTTTTCAATGGTCATGAAACAGAAATTAGCAATTAATCGATGCAATAAATGGTAAGACTTTCAGGTCAATTCAGTTTATTGATAGTCAATGTTTCAGATTCGCCATTCCAAGGTTCACTTTATTGACAGAGAATGTCCAGAAACGGTGACGGTGACACAGTTCAAACAATTTGCAACTGCAACACAATCGAAACGAGCGTATCTGATTGTGAGAGGAAGTAAAAATTTCGAGTCTTTCACAGGGTCACAGCAAATGAATTATAGATTATACACACACATATCAAGATGTGCATACCAGTCGATCATCCGACAGATGACATTATTCTTGAGAGACGTGATCGGAGCACGTGGTCAGAATGGCTGTACGGCCATTTTCCACCGATCATGTCCATCGATTTTTACATCAATAACGTTGCGTCGACGACTTTCTCCAGCTCTTTGTCGAGCCAAACAGTCAGACGTTCGCGAATTACGCGTATTTCCAAGTACCGCAGAGTGTATTCGTGCGGAATACGGAACGTTGAATCGAAGATTTTCCCGAATGAAAGACACCGACATTCCGCGATATAATAGAATTACTCGGCTATATACTCGTGCTTTTATTACACGAGCTAAATTTGCTTAACTTAATCTATTAGCAGGAATTAGCGTTAACACGTCCAAGGTCAGTATGGTCAATCAATCCACTTTTCCCCTCTGCAGGTTTTAAATCGACGTAGGCGAGTTACACACATACCGACAGAGCAATTCATTCCGTTGCCGGCACGCATGAACTGTGCCATCTCGCCTTCTTCTCTCGCGATTCTTCTTCCTTTTATTCTGCTTTTCATACTTATCGAAGTAGTTTCTCCCATCGCGAACACATTAATATGTTCACGTTCGCGATGTGACCGAAGGAACGATCTCGATCACTCGATCGGATCTGTTCGGTAGATTACGAGATCGTTAAGTGTACGAAATTCGTGTCATTCATTCTGATTGCACGAAAAAAAAAAGAAGAAAAAGAAAATTATATATATAGTTAATTTATCATAAGGTATCGCTGTCTTGATAAAAAGTAATCGAGGAACCAGCCACGTTACAAATTAGAAATTGTTCTCCTGATAGCACGTACAGTTCGAGTGATACATAGTTGAATGTTGGATACGTAGTAGTATGAACACATAGTGTATTGACTTTGGTAATGACGACGTGTTAATTTTGTTGGACGGAAATAGAAATAAATCCGCGATTAGTCGGTTCTTCTTGATCTTTTACAATTGTGCTTTGATCGCGACGAAGATAAAGCGATAGAGAGATTCGCTTGAAAGGGAAAGGCGAGATTTGTTTAAAAATTCGAAACAGAACACGTATATTGGAATTTTGCTAGAAATAATTAGGCTGCTTTAGTCTGTTGTTTTCTTTTTTTTTTTTACAATTGTTTTGCAAAAACATTTACAATTGTGTTGTTCTCGATCGCGAAAAAACTGGGGATAAAGAGATTTGCTCGAAAGTTTAGGGAAGGTTTATTTAAACAATTCGAAATGTAACATGTTCGAACGGAATTATTACGTATCGATAACTTGTATTTGACATTTATTGACTGTTAATAACATAGAAGCACATACAATAGTTGTATCAACAGTATGTAGAAAACAATATAGAGCGGAAAAATATGATCTGAGCGTTTCGAAAGTGAGAAAAAAATTTCGTAAGCAATCACATATCTGGCTTATCAGAACATAATCTGTTATTAACATTTATCGATGATAGATACACTGGAAAGGAGAATGCTATTGAAAAACGATTGTTCTCAAACGTGTTTGACAATTAAACATGTGTTTCTAAAGCAACGATAAACCATACAATACTTGACTTAAGAGAATCGAGGAATAAATATAAAAATGAAAATTCCCCTCGATTAAACACTGGGATGACACTATATAAATCTATTGTACGATAAGCTACATTCTTCCAATTCGATATAGTATTTATTCAACGTGGATTATTATTACTCGTGTTATAGTTAAAATTAGCTGAATGTAGTTGAAATCGAGCTAAATTAATTTTCACACACACACACACACACACACACACAGTTGCGTGAGAAGTGGAATTTTCTTACGTAATTATAAAGCATTGAATCAGACGAAATATTTTCCATTCGACAACAGTTTAATATCGGATCATACATCGGAATTGTGTAAATAATGTCGAATATACGTAGCCAGCCTTACGCGATTATCAACGGCGGGAGACCTTCGCGGGTGGTAGAGAATCGTCAATAACTCATTAATCATTGTGTGATAAAGATTTTTGTAAACAATTTAATTTTAGAATTTCCTTTTCATTCCACGTCGTTTCGCTGCCAGCCAGTTTTATTTGCCCGCAACTGATGAGGTTAAAAACTGGCTCTCCGCAGAAGCGATCTACAGTTTCTTTCTTTTGTTTTTTTTTTTTTTAAACACGAACGAATTTTGAAAAAAGCTGTAATCGCAATGAAGCTAACGTACGATGAAACTAACATCTAGAAGACGACGAAAAACTACTTCAACTCGCCGTGGAATATTTTGCAAGATGTAATTGCGTGCAATTTCTATCGCGACGCCGATTGTATCTATCGCCTCGATGATTCGAATTCTCCTTCTGCGGGGAACTGAGAAATTAAAACTGCGCGCCGTACGTGCTCGTGATCATTCAACATTTTTCTTCTTCTTCTTCTTCTTTCTTTTTAATGCCAATTGTACCACGTCATATTAATGTAAGAAACATGAAACACAAAGGACGAAAATAAATCATCTCGTTACACAGCGTTGTTGCTGTC